GAAGTCTAAAGAATCCTCAAAGCAAGAATACTAAAGAATCCTAAAGTAGACCTTCCACTTGATCCTACAATCCCATTACCCAGAACAAAGCAGATTATTTTACCCTAAGGACATCTGCACTAGAATGTTCATTGCAACCAATTCACAATCATTAAGACGTGGAATCAACCCAAGTGCACATCAACTCATGAGCAATTAAACTGTGGTATAAGTATTCCGTGGAACGCTATTCAGCCATACGAAAGATGGATACTTTACATCTTTTGTAGTTACCTGGATGGAATTGAAAAATATTCTTCTTAATAAAGTATCCCAAGAATAGAAAAGCAAGTATCCAATGTATGCAATACTAATATGAAACCAATAGATAAACAACTACCCTCCCACATGAGAGAGAAACACAATTAAATTCAAGTGGGGGGAAGGAGAAGGAGGAAAAGTGGGGGGGATTTGTAAGCTCTCACTTAACGGGTACAAGGTAATTATATACAGCACACCCCCAGGTGAAGGGCTCAACTACAACAAGGACTTTACCTAACACACGTAAACCATATAACCTAATATGTACCCTCATATTAATCTGAAATACATATTTTTTTAAAACAGAGCACCAATTGAAAGTTAAAATAAAGAAATCTGCATCTGGAGTGAGAGTTGTAGGTATTGGGTGTGTTAAAATTTTCCCAGGTGGTGCTACCATGTAGCTGGGGGTTGGAGACATCTCTTTATTCCAGTGATTCCCTCAGAAGCTTGTTTTAAGAATGCTTCCAAGTGATTCTGTTGCTCACTGAAGTCTGAATCTTGTGTGGCTGAAACATTATTTTTAAAATACTCAAATCAAAAAGACTTGGATTTTCAGCCTTGTTCCTGCAATTTGTATCATGGGAACTTGGTTAAGTGACTGTCCCCTCTCTGCCTCAGTTTCCTGGTATAAAAGTGTGGATTGCTTCTTCCTAGAAGAGAACTTGAGCATAAAATGAATTAGTAGATTTAAGATGCTTTGGATGGGACATGGCCCATAATATGGGGTCAGTAATAACAAATGTTATTATTGTTATGATTAATCTGGGAGCTCTAAACCATGGTTTCAATGGGAAATTGTGTTGTTGGTTGCAGAGCTGGCTTGCCCGGAGCACCACCCTGTGTTCCCCCAGAACTTATCCTGACCTATACCTACGTCCCTGGTGGAACAGGTGCCTGAGGAGAAAACGCAGACTGGGGCAAGGAAGGGCTGCCTGGATTTCTCTGTGAGGTCCAATGTTGAGCAGCGCCATGCTTCCTTGCTGAGGTCCTGATGCCAAGTTGGAGGTGGGAGTGGGACAGGGCAGGAAGAAAAGAAGGCAGAAGGGCGGAGGAGAGAGAATTGCTATTCTAACTAGGTTGTGAATTCATTGTTTTCCGTGGGAAGGAGACTCTTCCCCTGGGTTTACTGTTGAGGGAAGAGTCTGGTAAATAGAACGCCTGAAACATTTCAGCTGGAGTTAGAGCTCTTTGATTTGCTTTTAAAATGTCTAACACAGTTTTCTGGAACTTCATAATTTAGAGGATTGACTTTGGTGGCTCCATAGTGAGAAGGCAAGGAAGAGGTTTTGAAGTCATGTTAGGAAGGGAGGGGAACTATTATGTAACGGGCAGGTACTATGCTGGGTACTGCTGGATCGTTTCATCTTGGTAGCCCTCCTCAGAGTGCCATGAAGTAGGCATGACAACACCCTTAACCTTTGACAATATGGGGAGGAACGAGGCAGGGCACGGTGGCTCATGCCTGTAATCCTAGCACTCTGGGAGGCCAGGGCGGGTAGATGGCCTGAGCTCAGGAGTTCCAGACCAGCAAGAGTGAGACCCTGTCTCTAAAAACAAAAATAAAACTTCTTCCTGAGCAAGAGTGAGATCCTGTCTCTAAAAACAAAAATAAAAACAAAATAGCTGGGCATTGTGGTGGGTACCCGTGGTCCTATCCACTTGGGAGGCTGAGGCAAGAAGATCACCTGAACCTAAGAGTTTGAGGTTACTGTGAGCTATGATGCTAGGGCACTCTACCAAAGGTGACCATGAGAGACTTTATCTCAAAAAAAAAAAAAAAAAAAAAAAAAAAGAATGACCAAGGTTAAACAATCAGAGGCAGGGAGGAGTCTGGGCCACTGTTCTCTCAGGTAAAATGTTCTCTCTTGGGTCATCTAAGGAGAATTTGGGGACTCAGGGGTTCTCAAATGCAAGCAGGCTGCCTTGGAATCACTTGGCAATGCTTGACTAAAATACAAATCACTCTTCAGACCTGCTGAACAAGGCTCTCTGCTGATCAGGGCTGAGAAGCTCTGTTTTTCATACCTGCCTGATGCCTGGCCAGGTTTGGGAACAGACGCTCTGGACTGAGGTGCCAAACCTGAAAGGCCCCCCATCCTCATCCTGGCCCATTCCTGCCCCTGTCTTGGTTTCCCATTCCCAGTAGGTCTTTGTTGTCTGAGTTCTCAGAATAAATGTTGAAGTTCCATTACAGATCTCACACAAAACCTTCTAGGAGTCTACCCGGACATCTGGGAGGGCCGAGAATTGATGGGAATGCTCTGGGGAAGGTGTCTCTGAGCCAGTCACATGACACCAGTGGTCATCCAGGGGAACCAGCTGCTGGAGAGAAGCCAGTGCTTTTCCTCTCCACACGGCCCAGGCAGCCCATTTCCCTCTGGAAAATGTGTCTTTTGACCTGTTTTTCTTGAGTCAGTCTGACTGATTTGGGGGGAGGCAGAGCAGCGCTGAGGTCTCCCTCCCAGAGGCCAGTCTGGGCCTGAGGGGATGGTAGTGGCCTCGTGGTGGGGTGGAAGAGCCAGTGTGTCCACCTCCCCCCACCCCCAGCCCAGTGTATAGGAGGTCGCCTGTACACTGACTAGTGTCAGGTGTTGCTTCTGTAAAAAGGGCACAGTGCTGAGTTTGGATTTCAAAATCCCAATTAAGGCTTTTTATAATTCTTTTTTTTAGCAGACCACTTTGCCCAGTCTCTACCCCAGGATCTTTAGGAACCTAGAATTAAGAAAAAAAAAAAATAACCAACCATAAAAGTATAGACAATTCTTTAACACTCTCTTTTCTTCCTACCTCTGAGGACTTGGGAGCAGCAACCCTGCCGAGAAGATGGGGAAAGGGCAGGTGACTGTCCTGGTCTTGACTCCAGTGGATAGGGTATGGGGCCACAGCTCCAGAGGGCTGGGGATGGGGTGCAGATGGCCCAGAGCAGGCATGTCACCCTGGGAGGGGGCCACGCAGCTGGGAACACCTTGATGTGGCCTTCTGGGGATTTCTGTCCTCTCAATGAGCGCGGTCCAGAAGGAGACTCAGGCCAGCAGGCTGTGTTACCACTCCCAGGTACCAGGAACCTCTGAGGTACGGGTCTTATGTGGTCCTATCTGTCCTCAGAGGCCCCACACTGTCCCTTCTGGTGCTGCCTGGACAGGAATCCGCCCTCCCCGCTCATCCCACTCTCCCTGCTTACAGCTTGTACCTGGTGTCCTCTGTGTCACCTCTGGCTGTTCCCACAGTGGAAAGGGGCTGCTTTGCAAAAGATTCTTACTATGTCTTTCCACTGTTCTTCTTGAGTCAGATGAAGACTCAAGTCCTTAACAAGGGCAATTTAAGGTCAGGTCCTGCAAAATGGGACTTGCTATCTCTCCAGGCTTGCTCTACTCCACTCTGTGCATCTGTGTGTTCACTTTTATTTCTTTAATAGAAAAAGGAAAAAAGTAACAATAATAATAACAACACAAGAAAATGCACTCCAGGTCTGTTTAATTCCTCAAATGGTCAGGATCTTTTGTGGCTGTGCTGGCCCTTGTGCTGGATACACCCGCCACCAGTTACCACCGTCCCACACCTACTCTCAGCTCAGATGTCCCTTCCCCAGGCCACCACCCCAGCCCTCCAGGCTAGATCAGCAATGGGTCTTCCCTGTACTAATCTTGGTGAGCAGCAGGTTGGGACTCAGTTAATAATCGCTCGGTGAATAAGGGGGCTTAGTGGTGGGCATCACTGCCTGCCCTTAAAGTGCCCTGGCCTGTGCACATCTTTGCTCAGAATTCTATAGAGCTCGTTGGTTTGTGTGTGTTTAAGATTTTATAACTATTACCATTTTAAATGACCTTGAACTCTAGGGCTCTTTCTAGCTTGTTGAGTTTAATTGCATAAGGCTCCGAGTGACCGACGTAGAGCCATCCTCTGCTGTGGACAATAATTTAGTGCCCTGTGTGTGGCCTCTGAGTAACCTAGGTTCCAGATTGCTTTTCAGAGTGTTGTTGTTTTGTTCTTATTTATGAGTACGGCTTAGAGGTGCTGACTCAGGGCCTGGCTGGCCTTCCTGATCCTCGTGTCCCTTAGTCATCTACCAGAGTGGGTCCTTTTAAAGGGCACTGGGTCATGGTGACACAGGAGCCAGGGACCATTCCTGCAGTGACACAGGCCTTGTTCCCTAGCTGGACAATACACAGGGAGTTCTTTGTGGCACAGTGACTGACCTGTGTTTCCAGGAAGCTGTTTCCTGCTCCACTGTGGCAAAGGCCACAAAGGGTCCCCAACACTGGTGAGCTTAGCAATGCTGTGTCACAAAATTCCATCCCCTCCACATCTTTCAAATAGAAATTAGGGAAGAATCTCTTCTAATCATCAACACTGACTGCCTGGTCCTTTATGCAGGTTATGACCCACTAACGAATTATGAAACCAAATGTGTAGGTCATGACCAGAATTTAAAAAGAATTAAAAGCAATAACATAGAAAATATCAGATTATTAGTAAATAATAGTAAATAGTAAATAAAATAACTAGATTATTAGTGAAAATAACTATTCTTGTGTGAAACTTTTCTTTTGCTTTCTGTGTGTGCATGTGCAGACATACATGGAGTCACAGTATAATTCTTTCTTGCAGTCTGAATACATGTATTCCATAATAATAATTACAGTCCTACTTGGATTTGCCAATGTCATTACCACTTACCTTATGTTTTTGTCTTAAAGGTATGCAAAATCCAGTCAGATCAAGACTGTGTCCAGCAGCAAGATATTTTTCAAAGGCAGTAGATTTCGATATAGGTGGGTACCAGTGGTTCTATTTCTGTGATGGGGTGGGACAGCCATTTACATTTGAGTATTTGGCTTAAAAATAAGTGCACTTTGGGGTGTGCCTTTGTTTTAGTCTTGTCACTCACTGATCTTATGCTGACTCAAACTCCACAGTAATTTTCTTTCATGAATTTCTATAGCTGGGTCAGACCACTGTGAAGTTAAAAAAAAAGTGACACTAGTGCACACTTGTCCCTTCTGCTCTGAGTGTCCGTGCCATTTATTGTGTTTGTCTTTTATAGTGGTAAAGTCGCCAAAGAGGTGGTGGAGGCCAGCTCCAAAATCCAGAGGGAGCCTCCTGAGGTGCACAGGTGAGTAGGGTGGTCACTGTGGGTTCCGGTGACTTCTGGGAGGAACGGGGGTCTTAATAGCTGGATTTTCTAAATTCTCTATAATATCTCAGGTGGTACAGCAACATTAAAGAAGGATACTCTCACTTCCCTAGAACTCTCCCTCAGACAGATTTGGCTGGGCCATGGTGCAAGTGCCCCTGGGCTCCATTTTGAGCTACTTGCTCTGTGGAGAGTCATTGATTAGGTCTAGGAGGTCAGGTGGACAAGTGGGATATGTGTGAGTTGTGACTATACCATCTCCTGGCCAAACTCTGTTGCCCCGTCCTCTGAGAACTGTTCTCTCTTCCTGCCCGTGTTCATCTGACTTGGCCAGTTCCCATTTCCTAGGTATTTTACATAAGGTGGGGGGTGGGACTCCCCTGTGCTGGGGCCATGCAGAGGATAAAGGACTTAGTCATTGTTGGTTTAATGGTGTGCATTCATTGAAGTGTCAATATATGGTAATTCTTAGGAATTAATTGTGCACTCAGCTGTGTTAGACTTCATACCACCACAGTTTACACATAATCATTGTATATCTTAAATGTGAATATTGTCATCATGACCCTTTCCCTTTTTTAAGGTGAGATCATCATAAGCAAAATTCTTTAGGAAGTTTCCCACATGCTGTTGTACCTGCCCTTCCTTCCCCATCTTTGGAACCCAGACTTGTCTCCTTTATGCTCATATTTGCCCTGTTTCTTCCATTTCCAGGGTGGCCACACAATCTGGGTGCCTTATCACCTTGTTCTGTGGGGTTGTTGTGTTGGAGGAGGCTGTGGTTCCATGGAAAGTTGGCTAAGTCTCCCTTGGGAGGGCAGCCAGAGGGTCATTCTTCCTACACAGGGGAGGAGAACCAGATCCTGGGTTCAAAGGAGAATTCGTTCTTGCTTTTGGGGGACCCACTGGGGATCAGTCACATGCAAATCTGTAAAGCCAGTTTCTTCTGCTTCATAGCAAAAAGCTGTAGGGAATCCCAGGGAGGGAAGCTGGAGCCCCTTGGCTGCAGGTACCTTGGGGTCTGCTTGCCAATGAGGAAAGTCTTTATGGCCCCTCTCCTGCCTCAGATTGTGGTTATTCAATGCAGCAGAAATGAAGAAGACAGAATGATAAAACGTCATTGAGCTGAAAATGACCTCAGGGATTGCCTAGTTTGATGCTTCTATTTTATAGACAAGGAAATTTGAATCTCAGACAAGTTAAGTGATTTTTCCAAAGTCCTAAATTGTCTTGGTGGCATATATGAGCCTAGATCACCAGTGTCCTGCCTCTTTCTTCTGATTTCTTTTCTCTGGAGCATTCTCGAAGCCTCTGGCATTCTTTTAGAAGCTAATAGTAGACGAAGAACTATCCCAAGTGGCTCAGTGTGGATTTTATTCTTTTAGCTTAAAGCTCAAATATTTGACCTTCCATCCTTGATGCTTAGGAAGTTCTCTTGATGGTATAAATACACAGAGGGAAACCATTTATCTTTTGTCAATAATATACTCTCAAAAAATATATCCCCCAAATAGAAGGCTTTCCAAGAGTCTCATGGTTACCATCTATGGGTGGGTAATGAGATCAAAGAAGAATGGAAAAAATACTTCTCTTGTAAATTGAGGTTTACATAATTTATGGAAACCAAGGCTTCTTAGCTCAGAGTTTCTCAAACCTTAACTTGCGCAAGGGATCCTGTTAAAATCAGATTCAGACTCAAGAAGTCTGAAGAGATGCTCAAGAGTCAGCATTGTTAACAAGCCCCCAGGTGATGGCTGGAACATGGAAGGCATTTGGACCATGACGGGTGCAGGGAGCAGGCTGGCCAAGGGAAGCTCTTCTCCTGGAGTGGACTGAACCCCGGAGAGGGGAGGGAAGTGGCCTGTCGAAGTGAGAGCATACACATGCTAAGGCATCCATTAATTCACAGTTTCCCTTTTCTGGAATCTAAAATCTCCTAAGATATTACTGTAGACAAGACATTGAGACCTGGTTTCCATGTTCTTTCTTTTTTTCCCCCCACCCCCTTGTATCAAGTTCACACCCTCAGGGTGCCTCTGTCTTCCATGGTTCTTTGGCAGTGCCTCTTAAATCTCTGCCAATGTCAGGAAGAACTCAATCAAAGCATTGCTGCAAAGTGAGCTCTGGAAGGCAAGGGCTGTGTCTGTCTTGGTCACCTTCATATTCCCCAGCACCTAACACATTCATCTAACACATTGCTCGGCACATAGCAGAGGTTGATGCACATTTGTTGAATCATATGCGTGAACCAGCACTGCGGGGTGACAGACGCTCCTGTCAACGTTAGTAGATTTTAGATCTGTCCAAGGTGCTGCCTTGGGAAACTCTCCTTTCCCAGAGGCAGCTCGGTGGCCAGAGCTGTAGTGGAGCATGACACTTCTCATTTCTTCCCAGGAGCTGTTACATGGTAGGAAATTGTTTCTCTTGCACAGTTATTTTATTTTCAAGTTACTTGGGCTGATTTGATGTGGCTGTCAAGGTGAGAGTATGGTAATGAGCTTTCCTTTTCTGTGGCGGGTGTCCAGAGGTGACTGTTAGTCTGGAATGGTGATGATGATAAGGCTTTAATTAGCTGTCTTTCCTCGCATCTGAGATTCTACTCTTCAAAGAATGGCAAGTTTATGGAATCCTACTTTGTTGAGTGGTGTGTGTGTTTATAGAGAGAGAAATAGAAACAGAGAACACTATAATAGGATTTTTCTTTTTATTAAAAAGAGGAACAGAAGCTAACTCTTACGTTAGCTCACTGATCTTTATTGGTGGCAAGATGCCCCAGGAGGTCCTCCCAGGCTGGCTACTGGGTCAGGATCATCTGCCCTTCCCAGAGGCCAGGTGAGGCAGAGGGCTACACCTCTGTGGGCCCAAGGCTGGCCGCATGAGCCACTGGGCATAGCAGCCACCACCAGCAGCCACCCTGAGGCAGCATTTGTACCTGAAATGAGCACTTGTGTAGGAGTCCTGAGTGGGCTCTAATCTTGGCTCTGTTGCTTGATCTCTCCATGTCCTTGAGTAAGCAACTTAACTTATTGGGTCATTGATTTATTCATCCGTAAAAAGAGATTTAAAACATCATTTTGCCCAACTTCTAGATTTTGCTGTGGGGATTAAAATAAAATGTTTAAAAAATTATACAGTGCCATAGGAAGGTAAAATTGTGATGTTATTACAACCATGTCTTATCCAAGCATGGGAAGCTAGAATGTAACAGGTACCTGCCTAGTGAAGTCCCTTCACATAGAGTTTTTAGAGGCTTGGGCACAGGCCAGCCCCACTTTCTTTCATTGCCAGCAGTGGTGCTGGAACTCCATGGGCCTTATTTGTTCTACTTTATGCTACTCTTTTAAACTTCTGAGTCTGCCCATATCTTTATATAACCTTAGTTTCCTCACCTGTCCATATGGCATTTTTCTTTCCTATCTTACAAACACATTGAGAAAAACAAATGGGACAAACTGTGTTTGCCAATGTTAGAGTATTCCGTAGAATCTCTGTCAGTTGACCATCGAAGAGACTGTAACAAAGTGGTCAACATATGGAGGTGCTCAACAGGAAAGTAGGCCTGCTATCCTGATACGTACATGTGGTGCATGTCCAGTCTGTGAATATCAGGTCATCGTAAGGGGTGGTCAGTGTAGGGAGGTGGTCAACTATGGAGGTTCTACTGTATTTGCAGTTCCCAAAGGAAGCCTTTCTATCTCAACAGACTTCCTAATGACAGTTTTATTTGGAGACTGTTCTGTGCTGGGAGTACATGCCCGAGTGGGCTGCAAAGTGGGCCAGGCATTTCTGCAGAGTCAGCTGCTGAGAGTGGGGAAACACAGCACGCGTCCTAGCCTGGGCTGGGGAGGCCCTGGCCACAAAAGCGGTTATCTCAGGCACACAGGCAGAGGGCAGAGAGGAAGCAACTGAGACATTTGCATCTACTTTAGAAAAGTGCCTGACACAGTGGGATGCCATGTAGCTAGAGATAGCAGAACAGCAGGAGCAGTGAACAGAGTCCCTGATGGGGTGTTTCAGCTCCCTCACATAGAAGGATGGTGTGAGCTTAGCAAAAGCACTGGACTAGGAATCGGATGATCTGGCTTTGAGTCCTGAGTCTGCCTACAAAAAGTGTCTTTAGTCAAGTTTAGAAGCTCACTGAGTCTCAGTTTCCTCATCTGTAAACAAGGTATTTGCCTGGCCTATCTTATAGGCACACTGAGAAAAAAAGAAGGGTGGAGGGTATGCAAACCACTTTGTGAACTGAAAAAGGGCCATTCAAATTCTGGGATTCTATTTCTCATTAGAACAACTGTGCTGTTGGGCTCTTGCTTTAAGTGGAAACTGGATTCATTGGCATCTTTACAAAGGTTTAATGGGAAAATTGGTAAAAATGACTAATCTTTGATCTAAAAGTGTTCAGTCGGCTCCTCTGAACCGACTGAACATCATAGACTGGGTGGCTTAAAAACAATAGAAACTTATTTCTTACCATTCTGAAGGCTGAAGTCCAAGATCAAGGAGCTGGCAGATTCCGTGCCTGGTGAGGCCCACTGTCTCACAGATGGAGACTTCCCACTTCCTCCCTTCATGGTGGAAGTGGGAAACAAGCCCCCTTACACCTCTTTCAGATGAACACGGATTCTATTTTGGGTGATCATGACTTAACCACCTTCTGAGGGCCCCATCTCTCAATACCATCGCATTGGAGATTAGGTTGTAACAAATGAGATTTGGGAGAACAAAAGCATTCGGGCCATAGCAGTAGGAAGAGGCAGGAGACTCACATTTTTTCCCCTTATTTCTCTATTCTCTTTTCCCCAGGCTATCTGACAAGAGGCCTTGGGACTCTGCATTCTTGGTGCTCCATGGAAATTCCTAGTCATATCCATCTTTAGGTGTATCTGAGTTTTGCTCTTATCAGGGAAGTAATGTTCCTTTCTGAATCATATTATTGGAGAATCTCAGGGTCGTAACCACTGCCGTAGTCATTCTGGTCTTATCCTAGGCAGACCCTCTGTGCCCCTGTCTGTGAGCCACGGGCCTGTGTCACGACAGAGCAGCAGGAGCCTGTGGGCACTGGGACCAAGTCCGCATCCTCCTGGCCATCCACGCAAACGTCTGGACACTGCAGTGTTGTGGGGTGGGAGCAGCAGGACGTTCCTGTCTCCAGCTGCAGAACATGGGAAGGAGGGCCAAGGGGAGCAGGAGTCTCACAAACGACGCGTCATCAGCAGTGATTCCTGGGAGAGGAACAGCTATCCCATCAGCTGGGCATGGACCCAGAGATGGGGGAGAGCGATTCAATCTCTTTGTGTGAGAATGGGTAGATTGCTTTTTCAGAAGTCAGAACACAGCATGATCCATATGAGCATGTTGTGCTTTGCAGAGCTAAGGTCAGAGTCATGAACCAGCCAGAGGAAATTCCAGGAGGGCTCAAAAACTAAGAACTCTTCACAATAAAACAAGGAACTGCTAATAGCACATTTTAATCCCTCCCTTTCTCCCTTCCTTCTGCAAAGGTTTCCCCATCCCCAGTTCTTTCCCTGTCAAGTCCACTGTGCTCAGCAAAGCTTGCAGCAGGTGTCACCCTGGTCCCCAACATTCATAGTTTCGTGTGTCCCTCTTTAGTGCTCCTGTGGGACCCTTGGCTGTCAGTCACCATATTTTTCCAACTGTGGCTGTAGCACATGAATGAGTCATGAGGTGAAGTAGTGGGCAACACCAGCAGGTTAAATGAAATGAAGTAGAATTTAAAAAAATAGTGGCTTACACATGGCTGCAGTTTCTGTTGTTGCATAAAATATTCATTTTAGGTGCATATCTTCCTGTGTGTGGAGGGCGGGGGGACGCAGGGGCATGATAGAAAATGTATTTCTTAATGTGAGTCTCAGGCCAAAAAGTTTGCAAATCAAGTTACTAGACATTGAGTTACTTAAGGCAAGGATGACAGTTCCCCAGAGCAAGGCAGAATGGACGGTGCCTGGTCCAAGGCACCTACTTACCAGGTGACCAACAGAGCCGTGGTCACCTAGTAAGTGGGGTGTAACTTTTACATTCTCAGCCTCAGCGTCACACTTTTCTTCATTATTTCACTACTTATAGACTTATATATCTGCAAAGTAAGTGGCTAGGGAATGAAATAATGAAGAAAAGAGCACCATGGCTAAGGGGTCCTCAAACTTTTTAAACAGGGGGCCAGTTCACTGTCCCTCAGACCGTTGGAGGGCTGGACTGCGGCCCTGGGATGAGTTGGCTGCTAAGCTGGACAGGCAGCAGCGGCAAAAACATCCAGTGGGCTGGATAAATGTTCCAGGCAGACCGCATGTGGCCCACGGGCTGTAGTTTTGAGGACGCCTAGTTAAGGAAGTCCTCATAAATTTCTTTTTGTCAAGAGCCAGCTCTGGGAGTTTTTAATTCCAGATGCTGATAGGCATTCTTCCCTCCCTCCCCACCCTGCCCTGCCCAGCAGAAATGCTTAGGCCAGAAGTCTGGCCTGTTAACCAGCTGGAGAACACCTCAGCCAGGCTGAAAAGGCAACATATCCAGCCACTATTACATTCAGTTTACTTCATTTTCAAACCTGAACGCACTTTAACAAGATGCTGAGTAAGCTGTTGTAAGGGACCCAAGAATGGCTAGGGCAGCTTCTGCCCTTAAGGTGCTTATCAAGATGGGGCTTATCAGTGCCAGTACCCAGGGAGAGACAGAGGTGACAAACGTGCTGAGCTGTGAAGGAAGAGAGAGCAGTGTGAGACAGAGAGAATGTGTGCGAGAGTGTGTGTGCTGGGAGGAGCCATCCTGGAAAGCGCACAGGAAGGAGACGCTGATGCTATCTTTGAAGGATTGGGTTGGTTCTGGCTTTGATAGGAGCCATGCCGGCTGGCCTCCCTGGGGCAGGCCTTTCAGCTGCAGCCAGTAGTCTGAATGAGACACCTTGTAGTTTCCTTGCCATCTGCTGCCGGGCACGGCCACTGACACACCTGTTGCTCCTTCCTTAACAAGGGAGAAAACAGAGGCGTGGTCACCTGGTGAGTAGGGTGTAACTTGGAGAATATTAAACAGTGGGCGTGCAGCAGCACCAAGACAGCACTTAGCACTTAGCTGTGGAGCATCTGTCTGCAGCGTTACTTCGACTTTGTTTTTCTACTGTGGTGGTGGTAAAATTTCTCAGAGTGTGCCCTTCATCCCCTCTCTGCTCAGTGCTCAGTGCTAGTTCAGTGACACCTGCCTCTCATGCTTTTTGCTTCCTGTCTTTGTAAACTGCCTGCCTTGTCCCCTCGTGTGGTCAGGTATGATGCCCAATAGGGAAATACATTGTCTTTCACCGAGTTGCATTTTATCGGGACCTTAAGGACAGCAAAGGCCACGTGTTTTCAATGCTGCGTCATCTTTACCACTAGCTTAATTCACTAGTGCATGCAGAGGCGGTTCCCAGCTGGGGTGGCCCCCTGAGACGGAGGGGCCCACGTTCGCGATGGAAACCAACTCCCTCTGCCTGTGTTTGCTTTCAGAGCCAACATCGCTCAGAGCCGCAGTTTCCACTCCTTGAACAAGCAGCTCATCATTAACATGGAGCCCCTGCAGCCCCTGCTTCCTTCCCCCAGAGAGCAAGAGGAAGAACTAGCGCCTGGTGAGGGTAAGTCAGCCTCTTGTGGTGAGGGTAAGTGAGGGTAAGTCAGCCTCTTGGTTCCAGAGGCTGGCACTGCAGGGTCACTCTGGAGGGGCCGGGGAGGTGCCCGTGTGCTTATGTCGGGGAAGGGGTTGGAGTGCGGTGGGAGTGAGTCAGAAACTATGTTTTTAGTATATAAGATTTTTGTAGCTGGAAAGCTGTGCTGTATTGGGAGTTCCATTAGCTTCTCCTGGAGAAAGTTCTCTGGGGCAAAGTATTTCTAGAATTATTATATGTGTGAAAAGACTAATGGCATCAGACACACTACCTGATATGGTAACCACTAGCCATGTGTGGCTATGGGAAACTAAGCTTAAATTTATCAAAATGAAAACCAGTTCCTCAGTCACACCGGCCATTTTTCCCATGCTTGATGGCCGCGTGTGGCTGATGGCTACCACACTGGACACTGAGGCTGAGAACAATTCCTTCATCACAGAAAGTTCTGTCTCGTGAATCAGTGGAACCACGGATGGTTTCCACTGAAGCCACAGTTGAGGGGGTGGTTATAAAGAATTCTCCGCAGGTGTCTCTACACTGGTCGTCCCCCTTTCTGCCTCACTGTTTCCCCAGCCTCTTGTTTCCTTTTCCTCAGTTACATTGACTGACAGTTTTGATATAAGCTAAAATAAATGAAGTGTCCACTTCTACCCAAAATTTGTTACATATATTTGTGGGGTTTTATTTTTTGCAGTTTTCGGCCAGGGTCAGGTTTGAATCCACCACTTCTGGTATATGGGGCCAGCGCCCTACTCACTGAGCTATGTTTTTAAAGCAGTTATATATGTGTTTCTAGGCTTCTTTGTTTTAAGGATTTTATTTGCTTCAGGGAAGAATCTCACCACACTTTTTGCTCCAGATACATAGTGAAGAAAATCTCATATTCGTATTAATTTCAAAGTAGATCGAAAAAAAATGTACACAAAGTAAATTTATTGGAACCCTTGAATACAAACATGCTTTTTCTTAACTGTATGTGATTTTAGTTGCACCATCAAAATCTGGATACTGGGCAGTTTTAAGAGGGCAGCTCACTGAAAGATCACCTTTATCTCTAGCTTCAAGAATTCCTTTCAAAGGATAATACTTTTCAGTTCCTAATAATAATATGGTTCAGAATGCAGAGGTAGCAGCAACCTCCCCAAGGGAAGTAGCAGCAACCAATTCACACTGATGTGTGTGTATATATATATATTTTTTTCTTTTTTTTTTTTGGAGATAGAGTCACCCTGGGTAGAGTGCTGTACACAGAAACCTCAAATTCTTGGGCTTAAGTGATTCTCTTGCCTCAGCCTCCCAAGTAGCTGGGACTACAGGCACCTGCCACAACGCCCAGCTATTTTTTTCTGTTGCAGTTGTCATTGTTTAGCAGGCCCAGGCCAGGTTTGAACCCACCAGCCTGGTGTATATGACCAGCGCCATAACCACTGTGCTACAGACGGCAAGTCGAGAATTTTAGCAAATCTTTTTCTAAAAGGAAGCTATGATGATTAGAAGGGAAACTGGGCAACTGGTTGCCAAAAATTCCATGGACAGCGTGAAGAGTCCAAATAGTGAAGATGGGGTCTTAGAAGGCACCTTCTGTCCCCAACCAGGCCGTGAGAGATGATGATAAAGATCAATCTTATCATTATGGCCTTCAATATCTGCCTTAAAAACCAACTCTGTGAGTCCCCTGCTAAATTAACTTTCCTAGCCAAAGGGTCTCTGAGTCCATATTGCTCTTGTATGTATTTTGGCAGATTATGTGATTTTGTGTGTTTGGCAAGTCAAAGACAAGCAGCTTTAATTTCTGGAGACTGGAGGCTTTCTGACTGGAGACAGGGTGGCTGATTACCTAGCAGCCCAGAGCCCAGGGACTCCCATTGTTCAGGTGCTGCCTTTGTCTTGGAGACCTTGAGTAAGACTAAAAATGACTCCAGCCTCTTTTTTTTTTCTTAAGATGAGGCTACAAAGACACAGGAAAGTTTAAGTAGCAGGTCAGCATCATACAGGGAGCTCATGGCAGACATGATTTCATGTGGATGACAGAGCTATGGAGAGGGTTAAGCATGGCTGTTTCTTCTCTGAGCTTCAGACACAGAGAGGGAGGGGGAAACTCAGACGTCAGCACTTATCTTTGATGTCACTGTTCCCCATCTTGATATACCGGCTCAGATTCTTGTTTCGGAGAGTTTCAAATCAGATATTTTAGAACTGTATTTATGGACAGGTCAAAATCAGCAGTCTGAGCCCTGTTAAAAGAATTGTCTGATTCAGAATTTTAAGAAAATCAAGTTGAGAGAAGGCAGATGATCTTAACCGTGATCCTTGGGATCTCCATCTCTATGAGGTAATGGGAGGGTCCTGGCACCATGTCTGGTGGTGTGGCTGATGGGGGCATCTCCGATGTTGCCCTGGCTCTCTGGGGTCAGGACCAACCCTTTGTTTGACAGACTCTTTCTATTCCTTCCAGAATGTCAAGTTTCTCAAAGACAGCTGACCTAAGTGTTATTGCCCAGATTAGTCCAATGGTGTTCTGGGAAAATGTGTGATCCCGTTGACCCACGACAGCTGGAGGATTAGGTCTGAAGTTGGATGCGTCTGGGTAGAGAAAAAACAATCAGTTTCTAGGCACTACTGGCAACAAGAATGTTTTCAATGCTCAGTCAAAAGTTGCCTGGTTACAAGATCTGACAGGACTAGTGGTATGGATAGCTCAGCTTCAGATGACACCGCAAACCATTTGAAGAGTGACTCTTAGAGTGCATGAGAATTTCAGGAGAAAAAAAATTGAGAGTGGAAATTGTTCTGGGTGGCAATGACATTTTAAGGTGTCATTAATCTGAATAAATTTACATGCAAAATGGAGCAGGTTCTCCATAGTGCAAAATGCTTATGTGTTTTATTGGTGGAGTATATTTCCCGTTGGGGAAGAAGCTGGATTATGGTGACAATTTCTACCTTATGGTAGAAATCACATGAGATGTCATAACTGGCAGTTCCTAACTCATAGCAAAGAACATTCTTTTTTTTTTTTTTTTTTTATTGAACGGTAACTATGTACATTAATGCACTTCTGGGGTACAGTGTGGGGTTTTCACATGCAATCTGAAATACTTCCATCAACTGGTCAACACAGCCTTCATGTCATTTTCTCAGTTATTGCTTTAAAACATTCACATTCTACTCTTAGAAAGATTCACCTGTACCCCTATAAGGTAAACCTCAGAAGTAATCCCTCCAAACTCCCTCCCTCCACCCAGCAAAGAACATTCTTATCTGCTATAGCAATGGTGCAGGCTGCTTTAATTAAACATGTCAGAAAAGCCATGCTCCGTGGTGCCCGTGGCTCAGTGGGTACGGCGCTGGCCACCTGCACTGAGGCTGGTAGGTTCAAACCTGGGCCAGGCTAGCTAATGCAACAATGACAATTGCAACAACAACAACAACAACAACAACAACAACAACAGATAACCAGGTATTGTGGTGGGAGCCTGTAGTCCCAGCTACTTGGGAGGCTGAGGCAAGAGAATTGCTTAAGCCCAGGAGTTTGAGATTGCTGTGAGCTTTGATGCCATGGCACTCTACCCAGGGCGACAGCTTGAGACTCTGTCTCAAAAAAAAAGAAAAAAGAAAAAAAGAAAAGCCTGGCTTGATAAGTAAAACCAAATAAGAATTGCAAATGCTTGACGCCCCCTGCCGCCAATATGAAGTGTAGCGGAAACACCAGAATTTCCGTAAAGGAGTGTCTTGAGGATGGCAGTGTGGTAGATTAAAGGGTGGGTCAAAGCTGCTTTTGCATATGATTGAGAAAGTGTCTTTATTGAAGAATAGATGAAAATTAAAAAGAATGGTAAACTAACTCTCCAAGTCACCTTTACAGCTGTCCCTATCAAGGTTTGTTGTGTGTGTGTGTTTAATGTCGTGTGTGTGTGATTGCATCTGTATGTTGTGGCTGTGACGGGACATGTGTGGCCCGGGGAGGGGAGGTGGGAGCAGCAGGGGTGTTTCAAGTATTGCTTACAGTCTCTAACCCTAACCATAGATGGCCTAAGGCGCCTTCACTGAAATGCTACAAAGTCTGCACAGGAACATGTGGAGGCATTCTGAGTGTCTAAAAAGAGTATCATTCTTATCCCTCAAGCATGCCGGACTCCGATCCCACCCGCACTCCACCCAACACCTAACAGGTGACGGCAGGGCCTGCAGTGTTGTCCCTGTGGGTGTCTTTCATGCACCACACACCTGCTCTGATCCATCACTGCGGAGTCTGCCACAGCCCAGGGCTGCCTTGGTTACGCTGTGGCGAGTTTCTCCCTCTCTGCTGAGTCTGTGCTCCTCCTTGTCTGTCTGATAGGAAAGAACAGTGTCCTCCTCCTTCTCTAGGTTTCTGGAATTCCGCAGTCATAGCACAGATTTATCCCCTTCTCCTGGCAGCTTCTGGGTCTTTCTTCCCTGCCACTTTCCCTCCAGGTGCTAAGCCATTTCTTCCCTTTGGCTCAGGTACGTCAGAACTTACGCATCACCAGTGACGCACTGGTGTGACTTGAAATTTCTCTTATGTCATGTTCTGCAAAATGATAGAAACTGGTTATAAGGGCGCAACCTGTAGCTTAGTGGGCAGGGCGCTGGCCACATACACCAAGGCTGGCAGGTTAGAACTCAGCCCGGGCCTGATAAATAACAATGACAACTGCAACAAAAAATAGCCAGGCTTTGTGGTGCGTGCCTGTAGTCCCAGCTACTTGGGAGGCTGAGGCAAGAGAATCGCTTAAGCCTAAGAGTTAGATGTTGCTGTGAGCTGTGATGCCATGGCACTCTACCGAGGGTGACATAGTGAGATTCTGTCTCAGAAAAAAAGAAACTGGTTATAAATCCCGTGTGACCCCCTTACCCTGTGGTTGCCCCTACCTGGTGATGGCAGACCACTTGCCCCTGCCATGGGGATTTGTGCTTGCTATTTGCTTTATTTTCTCACTGTAAGA